TCCCCATGGCCACACCAAATGGAAAATGGAGAGTCCCAGCCACGGAGCAGCCATGAGCCTTTCACTATCCCTCTCCCCTCACCTGCAGCAAGTACCGACTAAAGGGAAAATAACCTGGCTGCTCAGGGAGCATGTCTCCCGGCTCTATCTGTCAGAGGCAGAAAGATCTGGCTGCATAAACATTGTGAGCACATAATGTCAGGAAGAGTGGATTCAACAGTGCAGCTAGGAAACTGCCAAATAAAGCATCCTGGAGGTCCAGACTGGCAAAGGATATGACGGAGGCCTGACTCAAGCTTTCACGTTACAGGAAAGGAAAATGAGGCTCGGTTCCTAGTTAGTAGCAGAAACAAACCGAGCGCTCAAGTCTCTTGACTCTTGCTCCCATGCTCTTTCCACCACACTCTCTCTCTCCAGCCTCCGCCATACCCCCTCGGGCCATATCCACCAGGGATACACTCCAATTAAGCATGGGATGGAGAGTGGTGATTTTTCCTTCAAGTACAAGCCTAAAAATATTCACTGGCCATAAAAACAGAGCTAGGACAAGGTCCATATTGATGTATTTAATGAAAACTAGAAAGAAGTCATGATTTTGAATTCATGTCATCCATATATATATATATTGAGCAGCTACTATGAGCAAGGTGTAAGGTTCACTGCTGTGTGTTAAATGACATTCTAAGGGAAAAGGCGACCCAGGCCCTCCTGAAACATTAATACATAAAGGAAAGTGGCCATACTGCTACTTGTGTGGTAATATCAATATAAGCAAAATATTGCTGGGGCTCAGAAGGAAATATACATGATACTGACTAGAATGCCTGCAGGTACCAGTTCTTAGAGTTAGGGGTTTGGGAAAGGCTTTGCTGAAGAGGTAACGTTTTCACTGAGCCTTAAAGATTAGTGATACAGCTCTGCTTTTGGTGGCAGGTCTGGGGAAGGGGCAGCAGGTACCACGTCAGGCCACGAAGGTGACAAGAAGAAGCCCCTGAAACAACCCAAGAAAGAGAACAAGGAAATAGACGGGGAATAGAAGGCTTTTAAGCAGAAACAAAAAGAAGAGCAGAAAAAACTTGAAGAGCTAAAAGCAAAGGCCGCGTTGAAGGGCCCTCTGGCCACAGATGGAATTACGAAATCTGGCAAGAAACCTGCTGCTGTTTGTGGCTGTGCCGATGGTGACCCTTGATCCCATTTTGGTTTAAACATTTGAATTACCTGGAGGACAGCTCTTGCCACCCATAGTTAGACTGGAGTGTTGTCTCGGAGCCTTTTGTATATTTAAAAAAAAAACTAAGAAAAAAAAAAAAAAAAAATAGAAGAAATCCTCCAATGGTCCATCTCTTTAGTCCTGTCTTAGCTGTGTGGTCAGTAAACCCAGGCAGAACCTGCCAGCACTGCTCATCAATGTTCATTATTCCCAGAATTCTGTACCACCGGGAATTAAAGGAACTCATTTGAAAAAAGAAAAAGATAATAAATAAATAAATAAAAAATTCAGTGATGCACGGTGAGAAGGGAAAAGAGTTCCCAAGGCTGGGACTAACTTGACCACATGTCCGAACAAGACTGCATAATACATTCATAAAACGATAAGCAGACTGTCTCAGATTCCATGAGGAAGGAGTCCTAGGGGACAATATTGGCAAAGTCAATTCAGGCAATGTGGTTTGTGGAAAGCACTGAATGCTATCCTGCAGACTACAAAGGGGCATCTCTGAAGGACTCTCTACTGAGGAGCGACACTCCTCTCTGGGTTAAAAAAGGGAATTCGGCCCTCGGGGTAGAGAGTGGATTGGATATGGGAGAAATTGGATGTAGGGGAAGCAGCTTCCGATGTTTTCCTACAAGGAAATCACAAGATGGAGAGAGTTCCTTGTCATACTCTCCTCAGAGCCCCTTTGTAAGCCTGACAAATCTCTTCACACAGAAGGGATGCATTTCTGTAGCACAGAAGGAACAGGTGCCTTTCCTTGGACACTTGCCTTGGCCTAGATGGGATTCAGTACACAGAGCTTTAGGCTACCTATGTTGTTGCTTGGGCAGAAGGAAGTGTGCTGGAAGAGACCTAAACAACGTGGTGGATGCACGGGAAACATACTGAGATAGAGTGGAGGTTCTCCAGTGTCACACCATGCCCCCACCACTGCTGGCAGTCTTGTCACCAGACTTCATTCAGTCTTACAGTCACACACCAAATGGAGCCCTAACCCTGCTCCCTGCACTGTGCTACCACCTAAGACAGACAAACTCAGGAGAGCAACTGCATGAGAGGAAGAAACTAGTGTGGAAGTCACAGAAACCATCTAGATGGGAGACAGGACACAGCTCAGCTGAGACATCACAAAGTTACCTCTGCTCTCCCTGTTGCCCAGTGCACCTCAGGAGTCTACGTCATTACGCATGGGAATGGAAAACAGGCTGGTGGACTCTAAAGTGGACTTTCTGTGATGATCCATGAGTGGGAAAATAAATATCCTGATGTGGTGCTGCCAGATAAGCACTCAACTGCCAACAACGGGTCGGCAGTTCAAACCCACCAGCCACTCCTGGGAAACCCTATACAGGGTCACCATGAGTCAGAACCAACTGGATGGGACTTAACACCAACAACAGCTACTACTTTTGTTTAAGAATCCCTTGGTTGGTGCAAAGAGTTAACACACTCTGCTACCATCCAAAAGGTTGGCAGTTCTAGTCTGTACAGGGATTCCTTGAAAGAAAGGTCAGACAATCTAATTTAGGAAAGGTCAGTCATTGAAAATCCTGTGGAGCACGGTTCTGTTCAAACCCAGATGGTGCTGCCAGGAGTGGGAATCAGCTGGTTACATCAGTTCTACTTCTGGTGACTCATTAATCTCACCCTTTTCAAATGTTTCTTCTAATGCATGTTTTAAAAATTAAACAACATATGTGAACCATGCTTTCACTTATATAATGTCTAAATAATTAAATATGCATTTTTTAATCCATACTCAAAAAAACTGGGGGTGGGGAGGCTGGGGTGTGTGATTAAGAAAGTTTGAAGACCCTTATGATGGACTGTATAGTACGCCCACCCATTCACAATCAGAACTCCAGTGTCAAAACACAAAAAGAATCTTACAGAGCTCAACTGCGGTGGATTTAATGAAATCTACATTGCATGTGAAAAGGTGAGACAATTTAATGGTGGAACCATAAGACAACATGACCTTATATTTTAAAATATAAAAGCCTCCTTCAGTTTGTAACTTCATGTCTTTGTAAAAATGTTGGCAGTGATCATTTAGAAAGTAAATTCATTCCTATTCTTAAGAACATATTTTTAAATATTCTCTCAAGGAATTACTGAAAAAAAAAAAAAAAAGACTTAAATATCTAACTAAATCAACCAACCTACCGTTTCAATTTTTACCAAGTTTAAATTCATCTATGTATCATTTAAAACGGTACAAGTCACGTTTGAATTACATAGGCCATAAATTTACTGTCAACTAGAGCTTTTGAGTGAAACTATGATACTATCTCCCTGGTGGCGTAGTGGGTTATGAATTGGGCTGCTAACCACAAGATCAGCTGTTCAAATCTACCAGCTGCTCCATGAAGAAACATAAGGCTTTCTGCTCCCATAAAGAGCCCTTCATTCCTATTGACTGAGGACTACGGGACTTTTCCTATTCTGAGTTTTTAATTTTCAAGCTTTTGTTGAGATGAATCAGAGTTCTCATATTTCAGATAAAATGGATGAAATTCTCAGGTCACCATGAAAAACTGTAATGGCAAACTAAAGGTTAATTTCCCTACAAGTTTTAATGTTAAAAACCTAGATTCATCTGTATTAACTAATAATCTTTTATGCATACTCCACGGGAGAAAGACGAGGCTTTCTGCTCCCATAAAGATTTACACCCTCGGAAACCCTGTACAGGGTCGCTATGGGTCGGAAGCGACTCGACGGCACTTAACAACAAAACAGTTCACAAAACTTACTAAGAACCTCCTGTGTACACAGTATTATGTAGCAGGAATACGAGACACAAAGTCAGTCCTCCCCACAGAAGGGAATCCTCATGAGGACAGGGACTTTCTCCAGCAGAATGAAACACCACACGGTCCTGCGCCATCCCCATCACGGGTTGCAGATCAGACCATTCCGATGTAAACAGTTCCCTTTGACAGATTTGGAGAAATAGATAATCATGACTTTCATCCTAATGTGACTTCATCTGGAAATTCTGCTGAAACCTATTCAGTGTTACAGCAACATGTCAACCTCCACTAACTGACAAGGGGTAGCTGTGCATGAAGACAATGGACTAAGAAACGAACACAGGTCTCCCAGATAGAAGGGGAAAATTCCATTACTGAACTACCAAAACCCCTGGCACTGGATAGGACCACAATGAATAGACCTGACTGCTTCCCCCAAGGAACTTAGACCTAGTGGAGATGGGAAATGAGACGGGGGAAGAAAGAGACTCAAAATACTTTCAAATAATGACACTGTAGTCATTCACATACAAGAATAGCTGACAACAATGCCCATCTCCTTTCTCTCCCCACAAAATGAAAATCACATGCAGCTCACAGAGAGGGTTTATATGCATTGCATAGTCTATTTCTAATTTTAATTCCAATGCTTGGCAAGGCTGGAGGAAAACAAGATCGTTTCACTTGGTTTCAAAAATAACTGCCATTCAATACAAGAAGATGGGTTTTTTCTTTTATTCTTTGCTTGATAATGAAGATGGTTTGGCATATAAATAATTTTCAAATCATCTTTGGTCTACTGAAAATCCAGAGTGGATATCTATTCATAAAAACAAAAAGGTTTTCCTCAAAAAGTACAAAATTAAATTCACTTCCCGCTAGATTCATTTGTTCCCCATAGCTATCTTGAATCTGGTGGTGGTGGTTATGTGCCCTGGAGTCAGAACTGACTCATAGCAACCCAGAGAAGATGTCATTCAAATGAAAGGTAAGGCAGAAACACCGGCAAAGTGGCTCATAGTACTTACTGATCCATATAGCTCCCCTTTCTCATTCATTCCGAGGTAAAGGCCACTGTCCACGCCTCGAATGCTGACCAGGCCCACTGCTATACTGATAAATTCCAGAATGCCTGGGGAACAAACGGGAAAAGACAGAAAGCACATCAAACCTCAGCTCATTTCCTTGGAATCTTAACATCACAAGCAGTTTTGGAGGGAACATTAAGCCCAGCTTCCAACTGAGAAAATCTCACACTAGTTAAAGAATTGTCTTCCATTTAAAAGAATTGCCTTAAAGAATTTATTTTTCATATAAATTCTGATAATAAACGCCACCCCCCTGGGAAAAAAAAAAACACAGTATACCCAATTCCAGCAAGTCAATTCCGACTTTTAGCAACTCTATAGAGCAGAGAACTATCGGTAAGGTTTCCAAGGCTACAAATGGTTACTGAAGCAGATGAGCATACCTTTCTCCCTTGGAGTAGCAGATGGGTTTGAACCGCCCATCTTTCAGTTAGCAGTCTAACATTTAACCCACTGCACCACCAGAGAAGGGCTCCTTACTGATCATAATGATATATCATACTGATCAATATCATGACTTGCATAACAAACAAACTAACTTCAGAATAAAAAAGTTAGAAAATTAGATTAATGAAACGAGAACAGCCAGAATGGAAATATTAAGAATGTCCATGCATTATGGAGAATGTCAGCAGTGTCACCAAACAATGTGTGCAGAAATGGCTGAAGGAAACCTTCAAGTTTCTGTGGCAACTTACATCAAAAATGTAAATATCATTTTTTTTAAACTAGATTGAAAGAAATAAAAAGTTATCTATATAAATATGCCAAGCTAAATGGAGTCCTGATGTGGTGCTGTAGGATAAACACTGGACTGCTAATCAAAAGGGTGGCAATTTGAACCTACCAGCTGTCCTCAGAAACCCTATACAGGGTTGCTGTGAGTCAGAACTAACTTGAAGACAGCTGACAACAACAATATGATGAATAAACCAATGTATTCTAATTACCTCAAAGAGTATACTTTAATAGAAAAACAATCTATTTCCACTTTATAAATGTGAAATTAAGTATATGTATTGGGGCACATAACAGAAAGAGAAAAAAAAAATCTATTCAGAGAAGAGTCTTCTGTCTCTCAAAATAAGAGTTTGATGTACTAGTCAAAGCTTCTATTGGTTTATATAGAAAATTATCCAGACGGATCTGGAGAAGTAAAACAGACTCTACACATCTCAAATATTTCTGTTTTAAAGACATATTGATTTCTATTATGTAAACCTCAGAGGTAATTAAATAACTAAGATAACATTGTGATGCAGGGGGAGGAGGGAGTGCAAAAAAAAGGTTCTTGATTTAAAATAGACACGAGAACTGTATCCCAAAATCAAATCAGAATAATGATCTTCAGTGAGTTCCTCCTCTCCCCTTATTTACCTCACTAAAAATAACACCACCTCAGCTGGGCAAAAATGCAGAATTCTATGTCCACACAACAGCAGCCATTTCTGTATCCAGTTGTTTCAGATGACCAGCACGCAATACATTTAGAACAAAGCTAATTATTCCTTGGGTTTAGCAACTGTCTCGTTTTTGTAATAAATTCAAGTGTTACACTGCACGAATGCGTAGCTAATATTGAGTTCTGGTTTTAAAGTGATCTTAAAATGCTGAAAAAATTACTGATGCCCAAGAGTTTTGAAAAAGCTAAGGATAACGCTTACTATTGTCAGTCTTGTGTGGCTAATAAAGAGACACTCACGTGGATTTTTACACAATTTTATTTCTCACAACAAAGACTGCACAGCAATGTGAAAAAGACAAGAACCACATAGAACAAGGCAAAGAATTCAACTCCAGAGAAACTGCTGCTCAGAAGGGAAGTAAGTAACAGAGACGTTTCTTATACAGAAGTATTCCTTATTATGTGCACAAAATGCAGCAATTAAGTCATACTTACACTTTATCAAGTTTATTTTCTAGATCTGATCAACTATTTTATTAGAATTTAAAAACAATAAAAGGAGAAATTACAAATTATGTTTCAGATGTGAGATAATTCATGACAATATCATGGAAGCTGGAGTCCTGGTGTGGCGCTGTGGCTTAACGCGCTGGACTACAAAGTCAGTGTGAACCTCGAGGTCAGCGGTTCAAGCTCACCAGTTGCTCCTCAGAAACCCTATGCAGGGTCACTATGGGTCGGAACTGACTTGACGGCACTTAACAACAACAACATGGAAGTTACATTAAAACAAGCCACTTTATTACAAGCCTTCCCTACCTTACAAAAACTGTATGCAAGATAATGAAGGTAATATCTCTATATAATTCCTTTTACATGAGATGCACGCTCTTTGAAATGCCATAATCACATTCCATTGAACTATATTTAACAACCATGATTCATATATGTGAGTCTCGGCTACCTGGAGAAGCAAAAAAATTATGGAAAAAAATTAATTCCTTCTATCTTAATCCCATTTGCCCACAAACTTTTTGAACCCCTCTCATCTAGGACGTCATTAACCTGAAATTAGTATAAGAAGTTGATTAATATCTAATTTTCATTATGAAATGAAAAACAGGTAATATTCTGCCCCACTTGAAGTCTAAACAATTTCATTGACCAGATCACTGAGGAAAGATTTAATCAAAAAATGGAAAGATATTTACATTCCCTAAAGGGGCATGTGACCATCTTTCCATTCTCCCTAAACATGAGGTAGGGCTGAGAATGAATAATGAATATTAGTCAATATGACCATTGTTGTTGTTAAGTGCCTGCTCATAAGGAACTTGCAAAGGGTTTCTGAAGAGCGACCGATGAGTCTGAACCTCTGATCTTGTGGTTCAAATCAACTTTTCTTTCGATTGAGTGCTTATCTCACAGCACCACACCAGGACTCCAATATGGCCAGTAAACCTAACAAAAGTCAGGGGTTATGGGACTTCAGAAAAACATTGAACTGTCTATCTGCAAAACATCAATAATATTTGGAATAGCAATAATGGGAATGGCTAAAAGACTTGCGTATTTAACCCATGCCACATGAAAGGCCTTCTCTCATTTAATCTCAGAATAACCCTAGTCATTATAATAGTTTAAACCTCAGGTTATATTTGGGGAAATTGAGGCTTATGGAGGTTAACTCTTTCGAAATGGAATAGTTTTCTGCTTTGAAATTTTTGGTGAAGCATGTGTTTTCAGTAATGGAAGGCATTTTGAAATGAAAAGAAATTCTGTTGAGATTATATGGTTTTTGATATAATTGTTGTTGTTAAGTGCCATTGAGTCAGTTCCAACCCATAGCAACCCTGCATAGGGTTTCTGAGGAGTGGCTGGTGAACTTGAATCACCAACCTCGCAGTTCAAACCAATTTTGCAGTCCAACGCATTAACCTACAGCACCACACCAGGACTCCATTTGATATAATTAGTGGGAAACATATGCCCCAAGGGCTCCCTGGTTCTGTGGTTGGTTGAATGAGGCTCACTTCAGATGCACACAGGCTCCCACCCAGCTAACAGTGAGATAGCAGCTTCCCACTGAACCCACCCCACCAAAAAATCCCACTACCATCAAGTCGATTCTGACTCATAGCAAGACTATAAATCTTTACCGGAGCAGACAGCCTCATCTTTCTCCTAAGGAGCAGCTGCTGGGTTTAAACCACTGACTTTAAAGTTAGCAGTCCAATGCCTGACCCACAGTGCTACCAGGGGTCCTTCACTAAGCCCCAAAGGCAGAAAAATGGTTCACATGAGAGTTAAATAATTTGCGGTCAAGGAATTTAATTCTAAAGCCTAAATCCTTACACATTTAACCACTAGAAGCTGGAAGAGAAGAAGACTTAAAATACTTACTGATGAAGACCAAAGACTACAGTATGGATCGTACCTCAGTGTAAAGAAACAAAGCTCATCAGAACTGGACCAATACATAGCATCATGATAAATGGAGAAAAGATTAAAGTTGTTAAAGATTTCATTTTGTTTGGATCCACAATCCACACTCATGAAGCAGCAGTCAAGAAATCAAACTGCATTAAGGAGATCTGCTGCATAAGACCTCTTGAAAGTTTAAAAGAGCAAAGGTATCCGTTTGAGGACCCAAGCCATGGTATTTTCATTTGTCTTATATGCATGTGAAAGTAGGGCAATGAATAAGGACGACTTATCAAAGAATTGAGGCATTTGAACTATGGTGTTGGAAAAGAACATTAAAAGCACCATGAACTTCTAGAAGAACAAACAGATTTGTCTTGGGAAAAATACAGCCAGAGTGCTCCTTAGAAGCTAGGATGGCGAGCCCTCGTCTCTTATACTTAGAACATGTTTTCAAGAGGGACCAGTCCCTGAAAAAGGACAGCATGCCTGGTAAAGCAAAGGGTCCATGATAAAGAGGAAGACTCCCCATGAGATGGATAGATGCGAGACTAAAACGTAAGTAACTGTCGTTGTGAGGAGGGCACAGGACTGGAAGGTGTTTCATTCCATTGTGCATAAGGTCCCTATGAATCGGAACACAACCACCACCACTGGTTTTACTTTTCTTATTCCTTAGAGCAACTGCTTAATGTATCTGTGATTTCTGTTCATTTCCTAAGGAGCTCTGGTAGTGTAGTGGTTACGAATCGGGCTGCTAGCCGCAAGGTCAGCAGTTGGAAACTACCAGCAGTTCCGCGGGAGAAAGATGAGGCGGTCTGCTCCCATAAAGATTTACAGCCTCGAAATCCTGTGCAGGGTCGCTATGAGACGGAACTGACTCCTCGGCACAACAACAACATGCCCTTACTAGTAACTAGGAGGTATTAGTTAACTACACCACACTGTCCTGCCCTGGTGGGTGGCTCTGAAAGTAGCAAGGGAACGAATAACAGGTGAGCTACTGGGACTGTGCCCTTCTACAGGTAAACCAGGGCTCCCAGAAGCCATCTTGCAAAACATGGTATGCAAATGCCTTCCTATGTAGATTATTTACCTAAGTCATTGGCGTGCACGTCCAACCACACCCACTGCCATGAAGTCCATTCCAACTCATAGAGACCCTGAAGGCCAGAATCTTTCAATTAGCAGCTGAGTGCTTAACCACTGTGCCAT